GAACTGTGGTTCACATGTAAGTAGTAAATTGAGCCACTCCACTCAAAGGTGATGTCCCAACATAACATTATAAAAACAATGATTTGTCTATTTGTATGTGACAGTGATTTTTTTAAAGGAAAATGTAAGGTTGGAATTCAATTTCACAACAAAAAAAGAATGTTATTTATTTTTATTTGAACAGATTTCAGATACATACAGTGGCCACACAGGGATAGTATACAGGTTATAGTTCACGCCAAACATAAATTTAAATATACAGTAATTCATCTTAAATACAACCATTAAACAAGTCCGGACTTGTTAAAGCATTTACTTTGTTCTATGCACAGTGAGCACTTGCACTCTTGGTCTACTTAATATCCAAAATCCAGTTAAGTCGAAGATGTACACAGTTAGTTATCTTTAATTTTACTTGGAATGGATGCAAAAAAACAAATGATTTTTGCATCTACAAAGATAACTGACAAAATCTACCAACCTTAGCTAATAATAATAGCAAGAAGAATAGCTAGAAGTACTATGTGTCATGTACAAATATCATCGGAACCTTAGCGCTAATCATTGACAACAATGCTCTATTTAAAGGTATAGTATGCTACATTTTTTGGTTATTGCTAGCAAACACAATTTTCAAACTCACTACCAGATTCACTTCAGCCAAAGACAGTATAAAAGATGTTCAGTGTAACCCGCTGGTTCCTGAAATCTCATTTGAAGCTTCAAGATAATTATTTTGAGTGGCATTTTGGTGTTTTGAAACCTGATGTGAAGAGTGAAGGGTAGAACTGACCATGAAACTTGTGCTGATGTAGATATCGTGGGAAATTCTCTTTTCTGGCAAGAAGAATGACCTAGATTTCCAAGATGACTGGAAACGAGTCACTGAAACCCTAACCCTTGCCATTCAGGCTGTCATTTATGTCAAGGACGTCATTTAGTAACGACTGCAAACAAAAGTATAAGATAAGCCTCACTTTTACATCTGGCAGATACATCCATGTTTTACACTATCTGTCAATGCAGCTGAAGTGCATTCTTCGTCCTGTTTGCTGTTATTGTCCTGTATATGTGTTACAGTCAAGAAATGTCAGTTACATGGCAAAATAAGAATAAATAAGAAAGGCAGGGTCTCTGGAGATAAAGACACTGTCATGCACTTCTAATTGGTCATAAATAATAACTAGACAGGGGTTCTATTGCTTTTTAGGAAAACTACAAATAACTATAGATAATGATATGATTATAAACAACATTTAGTTACATCTCCTTAAACAACCCACTGTAAATGTCAATGAACTACATACTAACTTAATGCTAACTGTATTCTCCTGTAGAGGGGTAGTTGGACAGGCGAGTTGTTAGTTCAGGATTCACAGTCTGAAAAGCAAAAAAATAAAACTTTTAAGACTCAACTTTAGTTCACAAAAGATCATTTCTGCTTCCATGTGGTGAAAAAGTAATTAATGCTGACCATATGGGTACTATAACTGTTTGACACGAGAGCCTCGTGAAAAACAGCACAACATTCAAATTGTGATCACAAAACCAGCAGAAAACAAGTATTCATATTGTTTCAACAGGTTCAGTGTGACCATGGTTTAATAACTCATTTTATTCAGTTTGGGTTACCCAGAAATCAAAATGTCAATTTCCGCTGCTTAAAAAAACCCAAAACCTTGAGAAATGTGTCTTTTCCACACTGTAGATAAAGCAAATAAACAGGGTTCATAACTTTGGCAATCCATGAAATGTTTATCATCCAACATAATCAAGGCAAAATTAAAATTTCTTTCTTGGCTAAATTGTTGCAATTATTTGTAATTACTTTATCCCTTAGTTGCACATAGTTTTTAATGCAACTGTGTAAATTAGCATGGTAGCTCAGTAAACTGCAATGGTAAACATGATATCTGCTAAACACCAACGTTATCATTTTAAGCATGTTAGTATGTTGATATTACACAACCTATGCCGTTCCACCTGAGTACAAGTGCAACCCTGCTACTCAGCCGTGTTATAGATTACTTTGTAAACACAAAACAACTTGTATTTGTGTGGTGGTTTACAGCAGCTATCAATAGTTAATAGATATAACCCTGAAAATGCAAGTTTAGTTACTGAAGGATCTCTCATCACTCAGGATTGATCAGTTCAGTGGGCTACCAAGTTTCAAGATAGAAATTTGGCATTATTAAAGGAATATTGTAAAGGACAATAGATAGAACTGACCTACATCTTCAGTGGTCTTTTGTGTACGTAGTTGAAGTGAATTTCTTTGTGCTGTCATTTCCTTTTGATTTTCCCTGAGGGAAGAGACCAGAAGTATTATCAACCATGTTTCTATCACTTTATCAGGCAATTCTGTATGTATCTCATTGTTGTGCTTACAGTTATGAGCTTGAACAGTTCCTCTCTGACCTGATAGTAACAATGTAGACAAATTGTTTAATACATTAGGTACATGGCAAATACTAAACACTTTCTTCTAACCATCAATTTTTTTTTATAAATATATCTAGAGTGATATCTGTTCCACTAAAATGATTAAACCTACCTTCTGCTCTGCAAAACACCCTGTGATCAAAATAAAAAAACCCTGGAAGAGAGAAAAAATACGTAACATGTCTAAAAAGACACAATGGTTTTCCTTTTGAATCAGGTTTGCAGTTTTTATCAGCAGAGACAAGAGTTTAAGGGAATTATATGCCAATGGGAAAGTTAGATCTGTGCATCCCTATTGCCATTGAATGACATTTTCTGATCATCATCAGAAACTTGTATATTGATAATTAACTCAACTTTAATACATGGCTTTATTTTTACTCTTAAACAATGAAATAATGAATGTTTTAAAATATGTTACTTCTACAACTGATCAACAATGAAAAGCAAAAAAATATAACTTTTAAAGAAAAAGAATTATAAAAAAAGACAATTATAATTTATAAAATATAATAGAGTGAAATGGAGATTTGTCCATTGTTGATTTTCTTTTTCATATTTGTGAATGTTTTAGATCATAGGCGTCAAACTCTTGCCCGCGGGCCAAATTTGCCACACCAAATTACTATTAGAGCTGGCCTACTGGTATTATACAGCTAATATATATATTGTTTAGTATTAAGCTTTGCTTGTTCCATATTCAGTTTTTCAGCAAAACGTGTTTGAGTCCATAAGAAAAGATTCATTCTTATATCTAGAGGAATAAATATATTTCAATAAATATTAACGTTAGCCCGCGACTTTGTTCCAGTTTTAAATTTTGTCCCACTGTGTATTTGAGTTTGACAACCCTGTTTTAGATCATCAAATACATTTTTTGAAACAATTATTACCTAAATTTGCTTGGTATGTGCTAACTGTGCATTCAAATTACCTGGAAGGTATTAAGGATGGTGAAAATGTAGTTGATAACGTTAATGTGCGGGCTATCAGACATGATGAGTTGAATGAAGCCAACGATCCATGTCAGTCCAAAGACAGGTGTTAGAACAATCACCACTTTGAGGATGCCTTTTGCCGTTTCCTTGTCATCGGCCTTGCTGCTGTCAGGGACTGAGGTCTTCATCAGTGTAACGATGACAACAACCATGGAAAAGAGATTTGCCAAAACAATGGTTCCCACAGGCAGGAGAAAAGCATGCATGGAGCCAACCAAGAGTTTTTTGTAAACTAGCCAGCATGTTTCGCTGTTGTAGTAGTTCTGGTTGGTATATTTGCAGTACACATAGCTGGATCCCACCATTACGATTGGGCAAACATAGCCTAAAATGCTGGAGAGGAACATAAAAACTCTTTTCCTCAGTGGGCTGAAGACAAAGATGAGCTGGTGGACAAGCATGATGCTCAGGCACAGCATCCAGCAGAACATAGCCAAGAAAAACAGGTGTTTGCATATGGTCAGTACTAGACACCAGCTGTCAGTTAGAGTCTTGGGATTGCTAGAAGCCAAGAAACTGCAATATGCGAGCAAGAGGAATGTGGCAATGTTCACTATAGCTGTGTGCCGAAAATGAGAAAGGTTAGTCTTGACCACAGCTGACCACACCAGAGATTCAATGATGAGAAAGATCACCAAGGAGCAAATGGACACACCAAGGCCAATATTTGAAATAAGTTCAAGGATGTGATCTTTTTTTCCTCCATCACCCTTGGACATTAGGACAGAGAATGCAGTTAGGTGGTTGCACTCACATATTGTGTGGTTTTCATCAGAAAAGCTGATATTGCATCCATTATCTGACCATGTATTCCTGCTGGTGTTCCAGAAGACACAGTGAGGTTGAGTGGGGTTGGTTTTCCCACTGGGGAAGTCCAGTCTAATTCGTATAGTTGAATCACTTTTATTGTCCAGTGTGGCTGATAATATGAGGTCGGTACGTTCAGGTTGTGTGCCATTAAAGCTGTTATTTAATTTACTCATTAGATTTTTCACAGCTACAGTTTTCAGTATTCCATTGGTCTTGTTCATATTCACACCAATGTCAAACACAGACACATTACAGTCATTGCTTCGACAGAATGTAAGGTCTAGATTTGTACTGTTGATTCCGTTGCTCTGGTTGACGTTAATGTTCTTCACTAGACCTTCCACAGAATCTAGGTAGTCTGATGACATTTTATAACGAATTGTGTCATTTACCCCACTCCAGGTGCCATTCAACATATTGCTTGCTGCACTAACAAAATCCTGAAAGACAGTAAAATAGAAAATAAACTTAAAAAAACAGTGACTTTTCACACTTTCTCAGTTAATGCTAGGATCCCTATTCAGGCGTAATCTGCTTGGGTGTACAGTCAAGGATCTTTAAGTACTGCATGGTCTGTTGTTGAAATTTAAAGTGGAAGAGAAACTACATGTATAAAAGGGTCATTTCCACTACAGAGCCCTGTTCTGGTTAGTTGTTGCTAATAGACTTATATCATTTATGTTAGCTAATTAATAACAGAACAAGTAACATGTTTAGAAAGAGTTATATGTTGCTGTATTGACAGTTAGCTGCATCACAGAGTCGTGAAGGACATTATATTAGCAATTCTTTTGTTATTCTATTATTTCTTAAAGATCTTACTGTAGATTAAAGAAACATATTTAAACTGATGAAACTGATAATCTGCCATATTAATCCATATTATACTGTTGGTGGACATTTTTCCTGCAGAATAGGTACTTGTACATTTTTTTGACTTATTTCTATTGTGTTGTATTATTGGTATTATTCCTCTAACTATCTTGACATGACATGAGTAGTAGAATGTAGAAAGAGTATATGTTGAGGATTATTTGAATTTCTACTTCTAAAATGAAGTCTGAACTTTTATATTCAGAATTATGTATGTATAACAGAAAAGGTAGATGTGCTTACAGGAAAGATATCCTCTCCCAACTTATTTGTGTTTGATGCGTTGGCCATCATATTTAGAACACCGATGGAGGCGCTAACGTCAGCAATACTTTCACCGGATCCAGAACTTAATGTAGAGCTGTTCTTTAGCCCTTCAAATATATTCTTGGCCACCTCCGGGGTGGCCCCTAGTCCCTTCAGGAAGGCCTAGATAAAGGAATTAGTGTGTAAAGAAAAGAAAAATCCTATAATTCTATTTTATAGATCATAACAGTAAGCACAACAGACACTTTATTTTAAAGTCTTGACATACTTTTACATTTGGATTTGTATGGGTTACATGCAAAACATTACACAAAGCAGTAGTTTTACATATGCAATATGCTACGCTGTGTAATTGAAATCGCTCCAGATTTGACCAAACTCCTTCTAAATGGTATGATCTATATAGCTTAGTTTTGGAGTTTATTAAATTTTACTTATAATGTTGGGTGAAAATGGTAACAAATTGCAACAAAAACCTCTTTGTGATTAGTTGCCAGCAGATATCTGTAGTTTACATGAAAAATGCCAACTTGTCTGTCAAACACTCACCATTTTATTCTCTTAGTCGTAGTGACAGTATGATGCAAACAGTAAACTGAAGACTGAGTTGAAATGTATTGGTTGCATTAGTAAGGAATACTTTATCAGTTTCTGGTTTGTGTAAGTGTATTTGGAGCCAAGTTAGCATCTATTCTGTAAACCACTGGTTATTGTGGGAACCTGCTGGTGACTAAAGCAATTCACTCTAGCTTCCGTCAGCAAACTTCCAGTTACTACTTAATACTGGAATACACTTTTTCTGTAGCAACTAGTGGTCACCATGGTGGTCACTGACCAGTCTCTAGGCCTGTGTGACTGAGACCTAGCCTCAGCAGAGAGCTGAGAGTATGAACTTTAAAGTCAAGGTGAACTAAGATGAAAATTTACAAACCTTTATCATTGCAGTTTCAGAAACTAAAAATACTGAAACACATACACAAATGCAAACGAGAGCAAACAAAAACGTATTATTGTAATGACAAATAAAGACACACTCACTTCAGCTGCATTTGAAACTTTGTTCAATTGTTCACTGACGCAGCTTGAGAACACTGCCTGCCAGTCTGGGCCGTTACAAGATCGGGACTTATAGCCAACCTTGCCTGCTGGGCATGTTCGAATAATCACTGTGTCTCCAGCTGGGGTTTTTGGCCATGTATATTCATCCAGTAGCTCCTCTTTACAAAATGGCTTCCCAGCTTAATAAAAAAAAAAAAACATTAGGAAAAAGAAAATAATATTATTAATTATATTTATGTCATTAGCTGGTGCAGCATAGGCCTTTGCAAACATATGCAATTCCAAAGCCTGGGAATATGTCATTATACTACACGTGAAATTTACAATAGACAGATTAAAGTAGACCCATTATACATTTCAGGCATATATTGCTGAATATTGGGTAGCCAGTCAGTTGAAAGTTGGCTTAAAAGAAAGGTGGTATTATTGGAACTGTTTTTCAGACAGGATTGCCCCAGCCCCTGGCATAATAGTAGAATAAAAATCTGGAGCTGGAATGAGCATAATAAGGCCCCTTTCAACGTATTTAAAATAATAGACAATTTAAAGAATCCTTACCATAGATAACTGGGATGTTCAATTGTGCACTTTTAATTTGACCGATTACATTCTTAAAACTGATATTAACATATGTTTCAATTGTTTGTTCGCAGGAGATGGCAGGATTGAATGTGTAGTTGACGTAACTGCTTGAAGCTGTAACAGAAGATGACATTTTTTTAAGTGAATAAAGATTTTGTGCAGTAAGCTTTACACATATTTTGCATTACTGATTAATGTGAGTGTTTTTAATGACATAAATAAAAAACAAAACTATGTATTAGTTTCTGTTAGAATACTGAAAATTCAAGGAAAGAAATCTTACTTGTCTTTTTTACATCAGGAGACACATTACCTCTGTAGCCCCACGAAATGTTATAGGTTGCATTGCTTGCTGGGATTATGGCACTGACGGTAATGCTTACACTTTTCTGATTTTCTGGACAGTCCACAGTAAGAGGCATGCTACTCAGGGTAATTGTATCAGGTAGGAGGGCCACACTCAGATCAGCCCTGCCTATGTGCCTGATTGACCCAATGGTAAATCCACACTCATATGTGCCTGCAGGGAACATAAGACAGTTACAATTAAAATGGAGGGTTGGACCTTTACACATTAATTGACATTTCAGTTAACAACACATGCAGGAAATGACAGGAGCTGAGCCACCAGTTCCCATATTACTGACCATAGTGGAAACAGCGCTGAGAGTATAAACAATATATGTCAAAAATATTGCAATGCAAGTTTTAAAAAAATCTGATTCCTATTTGTTATGAAAAGGTTCAGAGCAGAGCTGATCAAACAGTTTAAATCCATTGCACCATTGTGCTACCCACACAAAGGATCAAACCAGTTTTTTTAACCTGTCCCCTCATCCCTGTTGAAAATCAATAAAATATTGATCACAAAAAAAAAAAAAAAAAAAAATTTAAACCTGTTCAGAGGAAGTGCTTCACAGGATTAATTCATTATACTATCTTGTTAGTGTGAGTTTATAACTAAGTGTATTTTGTATACTGATTTCATATCAGAGATGTTTTATCTTTGATCAAGCAAAAAGTGTAAACACTTGCCTTCCCAAGTGCCTGTCACCTTGTTGAGGGTAACACCAATACAAGATTGGAAGGTATTTGTGCTACAGGTCTTATTCAGCTGGACCACACTGCCGTCGTTGAGCTCAAAGCGCTGATTCCTTGTGGTTATATTCCAGCCTGCGCTGTCTGTGGCCTCCTCAAGTTTGCATGCAAGTTTTGGCGTGGACTGATAGCAAACTTGAGTCCCTGGGGCCTCTACAATGACCATTCCTGTGTTAAGATAATACATGGAAATATAAATTATAAAAATGCTAAAAAGGTCACTTTAAACTTATCCAACTTTAAATTTAGCCAACAACATTGTTTTGGAACATTTATGAACATTTATTTTATTCATACTGAATGGTTAGAATAGATAATATCACAGTTCTGGGTCATTTTGACCCAGCATTTTTTGTTTTTTTATATTCTGGTGTTTATCTGTATTATGATTTATGTTCCGATTCTTGGCTGTGGCTCAGGTGGTAGAGCAGATCAGCTACTGATCGGAAGGTTTGTGGTTCGAGTCTTGGCTTCCCCAGTCTGCACGCCAAATATCCTTAGGCAAGTTACTAACCCCAAGTTGCTCTCCGATGCATTCATCAGAGTGTGAATGTTGGTTAAATTGCACTTGATCTTAGAAGTGATTGTATGAATGGTGTGAATGAGGCATGTTGTATGCAGCACTTTAAGTACTCAATAGCCCTAATTTCACCCAGCTGTGTCTCCCACCTGTTTTTCATTCCGATTACTATGCCGTTTATTTAAACCCTGTATTTGCCTTTGTCGCGTTGTACCCTCTAAATGCTGTGTGTTTGTCATGTTCCAGCTCCTTTGTTTTGAGTTGAATTTTGTTTTGCTTTTGTGACTTTTATTTTATGAGGAGGTTTTTCCAGCAATAAAAGCTGTGTTTTGAGTTCCAGTCCCATCGTTGAGTGTCCTGCATTTTGGGTCCTTTTTTTCCTTCCTGCCTGCACACAGCCTATCATGACAGATAAATTGTAATAACCATGCATTAGTGAAAACTAAAATTAATTGGTCTTGAAGACAAATGATGGGGATATGGTAAGCTAATGTTACTTCAGCTAAATTGGTATGGTTAAATATATGTGGGCATAATATTTCATTTTGTTTTGTTTTTCCAATTTTTTCACATGTAGTTTTATTGATTCTGACAAGACAGATCGACATATTTGACATTACTGGAATTAACTGAAGAAATCAAACATTTTATAGACAATAAAGAGTGTGCAGTTGGAATACCTCTAGATCTCAAAATGCTTTTGACACAATATATTATTAAACAAACTGGAAAAGTGTGGTATTAGATAGTTTGTGCTGAATTGGGTGATGAGACAGCAATTTGTGGATATAAATGAATACAAATCAACCTGCATGGATATACAATCTGGAGTTCCTCAAGGTCCGGTGCTAGGCCCAAAACATATGAAAATATACATATGACATATGAGTCTCAAAAATACTAAAATGTTTCAGACTCATGCTACGTGTTCTCACTTTTGTGCACTTGTGGAAATATATTTTTTTCAGTGAGAGTTTACAGCAGCTTTGGTGAATGGTAAATGGCCTGTATTTGTAAAGCGCTTTACTAGTCCCTAAGGACCCCAAAGCACTTTACACATTCAGTCATCCACCCATTCACACAAACATTCACCCACTGTTAATT